TCTTCCACGTGTATTGTAACTATTTACCTCATCATTAAACAACCCTTGGGTAGAGTAGCTTTTCTACTCTTTAAATCTCTTCCAGTTTAATATTTACTAGTCTCAAACACACCCCGCGTCGTTCCGCTACCTTTACCCACCCCCATTTCTTTGCGTTCCAAGTCGCGTTACTTGCTTATCGCGTTGCGTAATGTCAACAAACGAGAATGGCAACAACGGAAATCGCGAGGTTTGCGATCGTTAAGGACACCGTCGGCGACACGAGCATCGAGAATCTCGATGAAAGTCACAGCGGTATTTACTTTTCTGAATGCAGCGAGTCAACGAACTATACAGTGCCGATAAAGTGGTCCAGGAAACGACAGAGGGACTGTTACAAACAGAAGGTTTACGATGCTATTGGACGGGGAGGAGAGGCGGGAGAAAGAGGAGCGGCACTTGATCAAATTCAATTAAAGAAACCGGAAGTTATTAGGAGCGCTGCAGAATCGGCGAAGTAGTTTCGAGATCAGGCCGCTCTGATATAACGAAACGCCCGGCTCCTTCCGTTGGGAGAAAAAGCGGAGAAGACCGCTCTGGCACGATACTGCCGAAAAGTTTGTTTCCCGATTGGCTTATCTGATGCCGGCCAACAGGAAAGTCTGAAATGGGTCTGCAGCAGAGTGACGTAAACTGCTTTCCCGAAAAAGCCTCGTTCCCTCGACACCTGATTCCTTTCTGGCAATACCGTTCCCTTTTCGTATCGTGTTTCCGATCACGCATACCTTAAGCCTTCGTATTTTCGCGCGCACGCCGCCATATTTGACGAAAGAAAAAGGGGAATGCTGCCAGCTTTACTTCTGCGTCATACCAAATCGTAACAATTTTGGAACTTTTCTTCTTGGAAATTTACTGTGTCTTGGTCACTCTTAAATATACTTTAACAACAATTTAATCGATATTAAGTTCAATACTTGTTCTATAAAATTACATTTTCTTTTCGATCGAGATATCGATTTAAATATCGTAAAAGTTATTTCAAATTCGTCCCTTGCAATCTTTATAAAAACTTTCTGCAACTCTCTTTTTAGATCCATTTCTGTTAGTTGTAACCCCTTGAACAATTTCTTTCGTGCGTAAATTGCGAGATTAATAACAACATCGTCGGTCGGGGCGCCTTTACCGTCGGCAAACGAACTCGCAGCCCGTTTTGCACGATCCGGAAAATCCGGAGGACGCAATCGTCTGTAGGCTGATCGACTCCGCGAAGACGATGCCTCGAGGGCGCAATTTCCTGGGGTTTAATGCCCGTTCGTGAACGACGCAGGTGCATCGTCGCGCTGCGGGCTTCCACGGCTCGTTCATCGACGCACGACACACCGAATGAAAATCATTTAACGAAACACGATCGCTCTTTTGAAATGGTTGTTTACTTCGCAGTCGATTGTACAGAGGCTCTGATTTGATCGTGACGTTTCCTGCAAATAATTAATGAATTCACAGGTAAAATTGTGCGAGCGGTAGAGGATTTATTTTAACCATTAATATTTATTGTGCATGTGTGTACGTGGTGTATTATTGTGTATTCCTTGAGTGGTTTGTAATACATCTCCCTCGTTCTCGTCTTTCGGGTTTGTTTCTTAAATCTGTGTGAAGGTTAAGGGAGAGCGAGAGAGACGTTTGGATAGGAAAGGATGTTTCAGCTCGGTCCCTTATATATGAATGTAGGAGGAGGTCGATCTCTTGTGAGAACGCACGGCACGCGCCGTGTCCCTATAGCGGCAAAGACAGGAAGTGTCACCACAAATCTGTCCTTATTCTTACCTCATCTCTATCTCTTTCCTTTCTCTACTTTCTTCACTCCATCACTAACTCCTTCCCTACTTCTCTTCTTCCACCTTTACTCTCTATCCTCATCTTTCCCACTCCATCTTCTCTATCACTACTCCGAAATATCATTATTTCTAATGCTAGTCATTATTTCTAATGCTAATCATAATTTCTAAGCTAAATCGTAATTCAGCTATTAATTAATGTTCGGGTGTTTGAAAATCGCCATTCGATTGTTTTTAAAGCGAAACACCGGTCCAAGCATGCGAATGCCTCTACGTTTTGTTCCCAGGATCTCTATAGGTCGAATGGTAATAACAATCATGACGGTTATGAAACTAATAACGAATACGATCGTGGATTCATTAGCCCGACGCGAAAACATTGCTGCATTTACCGAGAATGCGGTCACGACAAATTTATGCGACACAGCGTTGCGTGCCTTCCAGGCAAACATTAATATTTAGTTAAGTACCTCGTTATAATTTTAACGAAATTGATTGCGCACGAATAATATTGCTTCGCGAGGAGTCCATGGTACCCCAGAAATTATTCTTCCATCCCAGCCATCTTTTTCAACATTTTACGTGCTCTAATCTATCTAACCTAACCTAAAAGAAATCTCAGATGCCGAGCGAGACCCAAAATCGACTAATTCCTACCATTGTCCTCTCCCCAACGTTCTCCGACACGCGTAAGTCGTCGAAGATCGACTTCCCAACCGGCGTAACGGCCCGCAGGCCTCAGAAATCCCGTTCCTCCCTTCGAAGTGTTAAATTATACGCCAGGAATGGGGTAACAGGGCTCCGCGCTAGGAAGCCTCGTCGGTTTAGCAGCCCCTTACGAAATGACTGTTTCAATTGGTTTGCATCCCGGGGGATTGTCACGGTGGCGGAATGGTCGAACGGCGCTACCACCGACGTCACCATCGGTCCCCTTTAACCTCCCACCGGTACCGTCCCCTTCGTATGGTAACTACGGATAGCAACTGGACCGCAATCTGCATTCCGTTACCTAATTGTCGTAACACGACGATGTATGTAGGCGTATGTACGCCGCCGTACATACGGTTAGGCGATGCGCCGCGTCCTGTACATACGCTGCCGCACGCATACGTTCGGACCTAGATACATGGCGAACGGGATAAGTGGAGACCGGAAGGAGGGTCCCGGGCGATACCTGGAGCGCGTAAGGTGATCAGGACTCCTTATTTGTAGGGAGTAGCGAGTAGAATGACGAATTTTATGCATTTATTCGAAATTTGGATGGCTAAGAAGGTATACACAGGATGGAATAATATAAAAAGAAGTTGTATCTGAAGACTTCGTACCTGGGGTGTGCGGAAATTTCCTTGTGTTGATTGGAACTCGGTTGTTTGATAATTAGATGGTGTGGACAAATGTAGTCGCTAGAAGGACGAGGCGTCTCAAAACTTCTGGGTGGAGAGAATTGAGAAAATCATCTAAGATACTTGAAAACGTACCTAAAATATTCTAAAAGTTAATAACACTTCGCATCAATTTTATTTTGTAACAGAATTATTTCGAACAGGACTATCTTGCATCCTAACGTGGTTTTCCCCATTGGTATCTCAATATTTCTGTGTGAAGACAATTGAAAAAATTATCTAAGATACTTGAAAACGTACCTAAAATATTCTCAAAGTTAAAAGGTCCTCAAATAAATTTTTCTTCGTAAACAAATATTCCGAACAGCAGTATCTTGCATTCCAATGTGGTTTTCCGCATTGCTCGAACAATTCCTCGATGCACGAGGGTAGATATGGGGATGTTGGCATACGTTAGACCCAGAATGCATGGAGAACGGGATAAGTGAAGACCGGGAGGAGGGTCCCCGGCGATACCTGGCGAAAGGTGATATCAGGGCTCCTTATTCGGCCGCCGATAGAATTTATGATGGCAACGCGGATACCGGAGCCACGGAGACGTGACGTGGAAGTTTTCTCCCCGGGCTTGAAGTTTAGTAGCTTGTCAGCGGTGTTATGAAATATCGCGAATTTGAATTTATGGACCTGTATAGGACGAGGTCCTTCGGCGTGATGTATCACGCGCCGCCCGGAAGAGAGAGATCCCTCTCGCTGGGACGTCGCTAAAGTCCGGCCCACTTTGAATATTCCGCGTAATGGAAATAGGTGTTTGTATTATTCGTGGCAAATACAGCGAAGACCGGATAAGTGCAAGAAAATCGGGACCCGAACGTTGCAGTTATCTGGTGGAAGTTTCTATTCCGTGTTTCTGTGTTCTATTTTGTGTTTACATTTTGCTCGAGTCGAGCGCTGAACGTAGAAAAGGACAGAGAGTGAAAGAGAGAGAGAGAGGTCCGAGGAAAAAGGAGCAGTAGGCCGAAGCGTATCGGTGAGACAATAGTAATGTAACACTGTAGACTGCTCACTCGCCGAACTTCAAGAATATGAATGTTTTGTTTACCTACCAAAGCAGAAATTGCGCCTAAGAGTGACGTAGAATTTAATTTGTGCGTCGACCGTTGGTGCAATCAAACCGTTTTCTATTGTAACATTAACAAATCTTGGCATAATAATTACATCGTCCCTTTGACGAGAAGGCGAACATTAACGCGGAGTAAAAGCAACCCTGTTTTCAATTTTAAAGCGATCTGTCGATATTCCATTTTTGCAGCGGAAATGAGAAGCGCTAAATCGTGCATTTTCAATCGCATTCTCTGACGAAAATGCCCGCAATCGATTCAACATAATCGCAGGGGAAATAATTATGTAATAATCGCTCTCGTCTTATTAATTTCGAAAATTCAACCATACAGGTGCACTCACTTGCTCGTATAATACGATTTGCAATACATTAAAATACGCGCCCTTAGTAGAAATTATATATTACAAAACAAAATTATTTAAGGGGATCAGTTGATTTGGAAATCAACAAACAATTCTTCTTGGATTCTTCAAACAATTCTTCGACTCTAACTATAGTCATGAAAGGATTAACATTGCAGCAGGACTTTCTGTCACCCGCAGATAAACTTGTGTCCTTGGTGAGTGCATGTTCAAGGTTCCCAGTGGTGACGTTAAAGTGTGATCGATGGAGTCGGAGTCAAAGTTTCTCGCACAGCTAAGATTCTATGGTACCTTGTAATAGAAGTCGTGTCCTTGGTAAAATGTTAACATTGCTTGACCTGATCCTGTCAAGGAGCGTTGTTTGTCAAAGAATGTTGCACTAGTTTTCTCTAGCGGTAGTCTTCTCCATTTTTTAAACAGTGCAGGCACATTAAATAATAATTCCACCAGCCACTCCCCTAACGATTCAACAAATCATTTACAACGAAGTACCGAAAAAAATTCCCAACGCTCTTAGCATAACGCTACCACAGACGAGCGCGATCGCTGAATAACACGCGGCTAATTGCACGTTAATCGAATTTTCCGGTTCGCGTGGATCGGTGCGCGTTTCGCGTCGAATGGGTCCGCTCGCGGCGCTCGAAGGGCAAAATCAGCCCGAGCGATTCACGCGTGAACCGCGCGCGGATGTCGCGCGCCGCGCCTAGCCTAAATCAGCAAATCCCTCTCTAACGCCGTAATGGATGGCGACAAATTGATAGTTGCCGCTGTACAAATAGCAATATAACCGTGGAACCTCCCGCGCAACGACAGTGGTCACGGATCGAAGTGTCGGGGTAGGCACGGAGAGTTAAAAGGGTTAAATGGGCGTCGGGTTGGGTATTTCGGAGGGGGTGGAAGGCGGGTACGGGTCACGGGGCTAGGCAGAGCTGCCGAGTCCAGAGTGGTGATGTTCCACAATATGTACCGAACGCCGTACCCTCGTGGCTTGATTGTTGTTTGAGCACTTTGCAACCCCTCGGCCCCTCCCGCCTGGAGCGCATCGCGTGTAATGAAGAGAGCACCGGATTCTGGATCCCTCCACCGGCATTCGACGCGTGTGAAAGTTTTCAGAACGCGTCGTCCACTTGGCCCGATTGCCACTTCGCATCGGTCGAACGACGGGAACGGTGAAATCCAGTTTACGGCCGCCAAGCGACAACGATGCCGCGGCTGAAAAGCTGAAACTAGAGCCGCGCCGTTCGGGAACTGCTACAACCGCAATGGGCCGAAAGCGCGATGAAGTGACCGAAACTATAGAATTGAAATTCTTATAATTAAGGGTAAGCCTAACGAGGGTTCGTTTTGTGTCTATTTCTACTCGAACGAGTCTTGGAAATATTTCACGTGGTGGTAGATTGAATAATGCATGAGATTGTGTATAATTTATATATTTTATATTAAAACTGTATACAAAAGTAACACTATAATATATATAATTATAGTATCCTATGTACCCTTGATAGTAATATTTACTTGCCTGGAACGGCAAGTGAACTACCAGCATGCAATTACTTCACCAGGATTATATTTCTGGCCAGTAGAGCAATAAATGAAAGAAATGTTTAAGGGTATCTAACAATGATCATAAGAATCTATTGGATAATTCAAATTCCGTTCCTCAATTTGAATTTTGTTAGAATCGAATCGGACGATTCCACGCCGAGTTAGACACTTCAGTCACATACATTGTTATAAAAAAAAAACAATTGTTTAAAAGTATCTGACAATGATAATAACTATGTATTAGAAATTATTAGAATATTAGAATATTAGGTAGTAGAAATTATATACATCCACTTAACTTCGGATAGGATTGTAACTGTCAGGCGCACATGTATTTTGCGATTTTAGAATTCTAGATTGCTCCAGGAACGCAGCCGTTTTCGTGGAACAATTAAGCGGAATAATTTGACGAGTCTAATTGACGTGAGTCAAAAGGAACGCCTACAATTAATTGGACATTAGCGGCGCCTGAGCGTTGCGTTTTGAACGGTGCCGCGACTTTCGCTAATTAGGTTTCAAGTGCGCGAAATGGCTAATTGGTCGCTTCCCTAGTCGTCCTGCGAACGTTAGATGGAATCTAAAGTCGGCCAAGTGATTTCGTTGAGGATGTTCCCCGATGTCTTGAACCAAAGATAAAAAAATAATTAGGAAGTCTTGGAAAGAAAATGTAATTTCCTCATTTTACATGAATCCATACAGTGTACTCTTTTCAAGAACAAATATCCATCTTTATTCTGCTTTAAATACAAGGATATGAATATTTAAAATATCTTCTAAAATATCTTAATACGAATATATAAAATTTTGAAATTTTGAAATATCTCTGTAAAATATCTGAATATTAAAACATCTGTGTCATGATTTATCGCACATCTGTCAGTAGCATCGGAAAACTTCCAGAGGACGTATCTCAAAATAAATAACAACGAATCTCCAAAATAATCCCATCTGTGTCTACATGTTTATCCCACCTGTACAGCTATTTGTACATCTTGACTCCCTGGAAAGGTTTCCGTATCGCATTAAGAGATTTACGTTTACTTGTCTCACTTTCCCGATATTCTACAGCTCCCTTTTTATGATCCTAGTCGATATCACCTTCTTCTTCTTCTCGAGTACAGAACCCTTCGTGTTCTAGAAATCCGATATCGGAGAAATCTCTCGGTTATGCGTCTACAAACTCCGCTCCACACGCTCTTAAACCTTCAAACCTTCTCGTTACAAATTTACTTGTTGAATTAAAATCAAGTGATAGCAGCAGAGCAGGCGAAAACGAATAAACAATACGTTTGTAAATGAAGGTAAAATAAATGTACTATCACAAATTTAAAAAAATTAATAAATTTTTCAAAATAAACAAAGTTTTACCATATCAACAATATTTATCAATAAGTGAAGGTCAACGTTCTATTATATAAACTACGTTTATTAATAAATGAAGTCCAACCAAAAATTTCAAAAAGAAGAGCCCCAAAATTACTCCCACATCCTTCAAGTCTTCTTATTAGAAATTTATTTGTTGAATTAAAATTAAGTGACAGCAGTAGAGTAGGTAAAAAAATAAGAATGCATAATATTTATCAGTAAATGAACGTCAAGGTTCTACTACATCAACGATATTTATCAATAAATGAAGTTCAAGGTTCTACTACATCAACTATATTTATCAATAAATGGAGTCCAACGAAAATTTCAAAAAGAAGAGTCCAAAAATATACTCCCACATATTTCAGTCGTTCTTCCGAAGCAAGGTGACCCGAATACACGTCTGCGTGGCACTCGCCGTCCGCCAATCCGACGGAAACTCCAATTTACGCGTCACTGTCGTAGAACTGGTGTCCGCGATACGAATGGCTCCCTTTACAACCGTGGCAGGGAGCTTCGTTCCTCTCATTGCACCCTATTAAATCGCCTCATTTCCAAGGGGAAAATCAAGGTAGATAAAAGAATTCAGCCGCAGCTCCTGCGGGATCGAACGACCTTACCCCAACTCGATAAGAACCAGCGAAGGCGCCAGATTACAAATAGCCTCTCGCCGAGTAAAACTCCCGGTTCCTCGGCACATCGACAGAGATCCGGTACACGTACGCGATTTCCACTTCCTGGGGAGAAGATCAGTCGGCTCGGGGAGTGATTCAGTTCGATTATCGCATAACTCGTCTCGAGGCAAGGATTCGATTCACGTTGTTAAGCGACATTGGGAACACACTGCTTATGGTGGGAGAAAGGCGAGCATAAATGTGATTAACACTTTGAAAAATTCAAGTTGCACAGAGAAACCGTGTCGACAACTTCCTAACACATTTCTGATTCCAATTATTATACTTTTAGTTCAAAGTATTGCCACATGAATAAAAAACTTGGAATAAAATATAATATGTAATACAATTTCAATAAAATAGTAAAGCCAAGCAAATGGTGGAATAGTTTTTATCCTACTTGACTCGATTAACTCCATAAAACAAAAAAATTAAAAAATGCGATAAAATGAACATCGTTCTTTAAAATTCCCTGTATAGTATAAGTTAAAATAAATATTACAGAATGCATAAATACAGATATGTAGCTTTCATCTAACAGTATATAAAATGAATAAGAACAGCCAAAAAATAATCTGCAACAATTTTGACGTGACTCAAATGCTTCACTAATAAAAAAAAGAAACATACGCTAATTCTATTGCACGACGCCTACGTTTGGACACTGGTTAGGTCGATACTGAACACGGAGAACAAGGACGAAGATCCGAAGACGCGAAAAACGTGGATGGACCTTAGGACTGAATCACGCCATTGAAGTAGCGACAAAAGGATACGCCGATATTTACGAAAGACGTCGAAATACAAAGACGAAGAAGACAGCGCGAATCGGACCGCGGCGAAAGGGTGAGGGCGGGAAAGTGAAGGCGCGGGAGGGGTTTGCCCGAGCTCCCAGCAATTTCTGTCTTCCATTCCGACGCTCAACCGTCGTCAATTCCGGAGCAAGACATTCAAATCTCGCCCCCTCCGTCCCGGACGTGGAAGCCACGTTCGTGTTTCACCATTTTGGTCGCATCCCAATGTATTGGAATTCACTTTGAAGGGGGATACCGCCGAGCTGAAGCGGTCCGAGGAAGTCCGTCAGCGTCTCGAACGAAGAGGGGAGATACTGCGAGCCGAAAATCCGTGAGCTAGACGAAGACGAGCGGGAAGAAGATCGAGGAAGAGGGACGATCGTAGCCGGGGAATAGTTGAGCACGGGCGCTTTACGATGATGGGGGTTTCGCTCGTAAAAGCCAATGTAGCGCCACCCCTTCGAGCTCCCATCCGCTGGCCCCTGCTCCTATACATCGCTTTACCTTCACCCTCGCGACAGGTTGTCCGTCTTCATCCCGCTCGAGCCAGCTAGGTCTCGCGAAGATCCTCGGCGAACCTCTTCATCATCCCACCGGAGGTTCGGACGCTGCGACCAACAGTCGAGCTTATCCCTGACGCTGATCGGCGCGTATTGGCTCTGGTTACTTCGGAGTGGGGATAATTAAGGTTGGAGACACTGAGTAAAACGTATAAAGTAGCTGAGATGATTCTGAACCATAACTTCCTTCGCAAAAATGTCGAGTAATGGTTCGTTTTTGAATTAGCAACGAAAAACCTCGGACCAATCACAGCGCAGG